TCTGAAGTGTGCACATAAGCAAATGTTCTGGTACCATGGACATTCTAGATCTGAAATATACGTGCAGCCTCTAGATCAAAGGGTTCCTAAGTGTTTTATTATGCTGATCTATCTAATAATATTGGGTAAATTCCAAAGTACCAGTACCTGGTAAACATTCACTTACCCACCTCTGATATGGAGCAATTGCAGGACCCAATCATAGTTACTCTCTAACAGCATGCAACAAACTCATTTCAGTTTTGTGGCAGGAAGACTGGAAGCTCTTACTTACACACAAAATGACAGGAGAAAGTCTCGCAGTGAATACCCTTGCCATAGTTTTATGCGTATGTACCTCAGTGAATGTGAGGTTAAGACCAAGGTCCCGAGTCCTGCTTGGGTCTGGGGATTGCCCTGGGAGTTCTCATGGAGGGGAAGGTGGGGAGGGTGCATGAGCACTGGCTCAGCACAAAGAGACTGATAGCAACTGAGGTCTCCTTGAAGGTACACAGAGCAGATGAAGGGTGACTGAAGGAGAGAACTGGGGACACAGATCTTCACTGGTAGGTGGATGGGTTTGGGAAAGGGATGAAGGAGTGTGAGTGCATGCAAGGCCTCTTCACACGTGTTTGTCTGGTGTTGCACAGGTGCAAACAATAGTGGGGACTTCAGCACCTCTGCCGGCTTCCATGAGTTCCAGCTACTCTAAAATATCGGGCACTGAGTGTGTACAGAGTGCCAGTTGTTGTCAAGGCTGGGAAGTGGTGCTGGTGGTACCAAGTAGAGCTGGCCCAGAAATGGCACTTCTGGGTTAACCACTAGTGGCCAAATTAACACATAAAGTGGTGCAGCAAGTGGCTACAGGCTTGTCACAGAAGGTAATTGAGGAGCACCAGGAAGGACAACAGCTCAGGAAGGGACAGGGCAGCATGATCTTAAGAAGTGAAGTCAAATGGCATGAAACTCATCCCATATTCCATGAAATCTCACTGACTCCTCATTCATAAGGCTTAATGGTATTGCCACACTTTTCTGGCATTTGAATCGCGCAAAGTTCAAATGTTGTTCAAATGTTGAATACTGCAAATCAGCCAGAATCACCTTTTTCTTTTTCTTCTGCCAGTGGGAGAGAAGAATCACAATTTTGCCTATTGCAGGGGAAAAGGGAGTTAAGTTGTTGGAGCTAGAGTATGATAGCACTTTTTCTTGGTATGGATGGGGTTTGGTTGGTTGTTTCTTCTTCCATACCAAGCTTTTCCAGCCCTGAATTATTTTAGTTAGAACATGTTACTATTTTCATCTCTCATCAGTTCAAACCATTGACCTAGTACGTCTTTTGAGACAAAATGCATTATTTGATATGGGAAAATTTGCGTCAGTTAAAAAAAATAAATCGCATGCTCACCAGACAAAGAGAGCCCTTAAGGACCAGGTCTCAGCCTCTGTATTTGCAAATGAGTGCTGACTAAGGTAATTGAGTTTTTGGCAAGATAGTGAGCACCCCACAATGTCACATTGAGACCCAAAATATATTAAAGCATCTGTTTGCAAAGATCATGCATGTGCTCACCCCATTTGTTTACAGAACTATCCTAAATAAAAGGTCAAAACATCACTGTAGTTCAGCTACAAGATTCTGAAAATAAAGAAGGAGCTGTATGATTTCCTTCTCAAATTCAGTGTATTATGTGTTAATTTAAAACTTTCCACTCCTGTGGAGAGCAAAAAGTGAACCTAGCTAGAGACAAGTTGTGATGACAAAGAGTTTGAATTGTTCTGACCTTGCAAAGGGAAAATCCCATGCACACAAATCAACTCTTCTATAAGTGAAATAAATCAGGTCCTTAACATTTTCACAGCCATATCTGAGTCATGAGGTTTTAATAACACCACCAAGAATGTCATTGCCAATTATTTAATTATTTGAGGAAGAGCATCCCCAGCCTAGGTTTTCTACCAACTCTCTTCTCACCATTGCTGGAGGATTGCTCTGAAAAAAGATGGCCTTACACTGGCAGAACCCTGTGGAAGTCTGTGGGAATTTGCTTTCACTGTGACTTGCAGGAAACAGTTGGTGAAAAGCTAAGTCTGATGGTGAGTGCTGACAGGCAAATGGCCAAATCCAAGAAGGAATACAGGCATCTAAACATTCACTGATCTCTGTGGCAGGCTGGGACTTACATTTCTTTAGGTGGCTTGCTCATGTATCTTCTTTTTTCTTTCAGGATTAACATATCAAAGTTCAAAAGCTTGATTATTTTCACAAAGAATTAAGAATGTGCATGTTTTCAAGAGCTGTGGGCAAACTGGTCAGCAGTGCAGCAAGGAGAGTCCTGGGAGAATGGTTAAAAAGCTGGGGGCAAATTTAGGTTACTTGACATGCAGATGGGCTGTGCTGAATGAACAGTGCCTTGGCTATGCTTCGTGGCTGGGCAGAGGTTGGCAGTGAGTTTGGGCGCAAGCAGTGATGCCTCACAGCCTGCTGATGACAGCTGTGCTATTGATGAAGCAGAGACACCCAGGGAATCAGTCCTAGAGCAAATGGGGCCAGTGCTCTGGTGGCCCTGAGTGTCTTGTGCAAACATCCTAGCTGCCCCAGGTTTCCTAAAGAAAACCAGGGCATGGGAGAGCTGTATACTCCAAGTATTTTGTATCTTTGCAGAAGTCCTCAGAGGCCACTAAACTTTACAATCCTTGGGGCAAGAAAATACAATGTGACTGAAAAAGCTTCTCATACAGAGATCTGGGAATGCGTCAGGTCTAAGCATGGGCAGTCGACTGAAATGCAGCATACCTTGCTTTGGTTTAGGAGCTGACAAGCCAAACTTTCATCAGTATCCACCACATATGCAGATTTCCCTGATAATTCCATGGTTTTCCCAGCCTGTGCCTTGTAAAAGCATCACTGTTCTCTTAGAGTCACTGCAGCTTGTTGCTGGGGACACCCACACCACGCAAGTGTTCAGCACTTTCTTCCCAGTGCTGCTGCTTCTCTACTCTATGTGGAAGGTCTTCCAGACTTACATGCAGGTACAGAAAAACATTGCATAAGAAATGAATGCTTCCCTGGGCAGGCACAGAGCAAAGAGGGTTTGTTCCACCCCTGCCAGAAATCTAGAAGGTTAATCTTGCTGGTGGTGCAACCTGGGACCAGCTCTTCCATGACTCCCACCTTTCATGATCCACAGAGGACTTTGCATTGCTTTGATGTGCAATTTCCAGGGCTGGGTTAGCAATCAACCCTCACAGGTCTGAGCTCACAGGAGCACAGACCACACCACAGCCAGCAATTTTGTCTCCTGACTTGACACAGACCTTCACTTCACTTGCAGCTGCTCTGAACTTGCAGCTAGGTAGGCTGAACAGAAGTTTTGCTGAAGCAAGATTAACAAGTTCAAGCCTTTATTACATCCAACTTCCAGAAATGGATGTGGTCTAAGGAGACACATAAATGCCTTTTTACTTTGTGAGAAGGTAAAATGTTGCTTAATTCGATGTGGCAGGTTCAAGATTTCTATTAGAACAAAAGGCTTGAAGGGGAGTATATGCGTTTTGGAGAGAGTGAAACAAAAAAAAAAAATACGAAGAACCATCACATATGTATATAGCTACTGAAAAAAATTAAACATTTTAAGTGCAGTGCTCAGCAGTGACAAATTATCCATCTCCTTTGTGTTTTAGGGAAAAGTATAATAAAATTGCAGGCCTTGATCAATGGTAGATGAGTCATTTAATGACAATGACTTGTCATGTAGTGACGAGTCCAAACCTTTTAATTCAAGTACATTTTAATCTCCTGTCCTGTTTAATTATCCAATAATGGTAACTTGGATGGAGAGTGATAGAGTGTGCATACAAAGTATCTTAAACTCCAAATTTTATTTGTAAGCCATCAGTGAAGAGTATGCTAAATAGGCTAGATCATGACCTCTCCTGAGTGCTGTTGCACTTACTTAACCCAGATAAGGAGCATGCCTGAAAAGTTAAAAAGAGCTTCAGTGAAACAGAGAAGTCATCACACTTTGAAAGGCAGAAAGAGAAATACATGACAGCTTGCATTATGACCTAGAAACTCAGTCACTGAATTTTTACAACCTTTCTGCTAAAACCAGGAACATATAGATCTGCCCTGCTCCAGAGACTGTAACATCCTGTCAGTTTGTATGGAAAATGCAAATGTTCCCTCAATGTTCTTACTGTAGGTCTTTGTTTTGCTTTGCTTTTTATCTACTTTGTTTCTGCTAATCTTCAGCCTTCTGTGTTTGCCGAAGCTATTCAAGAATGCAATGCCAAACAACGCCCTATTACTGCTCTGCAGCTTTTATTGGAGAAGGCAGCCTCTCAAATGTACTCATCCTAGCCTGCAACAGCTACCTTTACCTACAGTTAGGGTTGCACAATCATTTCCATTTCAAGAGCTTTGGTTTGGTTTTTTTCCATTTTTTCCCCCTGAAGCTGCTTGTAACTTTACTGGACTTGATCATTCAGGCTGAAATTTTCCATGCTGGGTGTGTACCTAAAGCCTCTTTTCCTTAATTTAAAACAAAACAGATTCACTATCATCCATTTCTGAGAACAAGATGATGCAAAACATGTGCACTTCCCACATCAGAACCCTTCCTGTAAATTTAAGTGCACTGGTATGTTCACCCCTTTGCCTTGTTTGGAGGTCAATGCAAAGTTGCCCTGCTTCTTAGAAGAGCCTTTGTTATCACTGTGGTATTTCTGGAAATTTTAATAAGTGCAGGACTGAAACACTTCAACTCTGCCTAGTTAGAAGGAACCTAGAGTTTGCAAACTGAATTCTGCAAAAATGTGCCAGCCTTTCACGTGGAAACCAGTACAGTCTGAAGTGCCACAGCAGTGACACAGCACCTACCTAGCCTCAGGCAAAGCGCACAAGCACCAGAGAGAGGAAGGTCATCCACAGGCAGAGGACTTTTTTTCTCCAGGCCTATAATTAAAATCTGGGTTTGTTGTTCATGTTCAATGCATAGTTTACTCTATTTTCCTTTTAGGGAAAGTCAATGGACATGAGTTTTTCACCAGGAGTAGTTCCTCTGTGGGAATCAATCTCTGTGGGAGATCCTCTGTGGGAATTCTCTGTGGAAATTCAATCTCAGGTGGGAAAAGGCTGATGAGGAGGTGATGTTCCAGCTATATCAGATAATCTTCGTGAAGACTGAGGTGAAATTTTGATGCTGCCATTGTTTAGTTTCCTTTTAATAACTCAGAAGCATTGTGAAATGTACTTTGCACACCACCATTAACACTGTAGCCATTCAGAAGCCAGACGTACCATTGCAACTATTTTCTGCTCCCCTTTATGGCATGACAGTGGTCCGGAGAGTATAGAGAAACAAATCAGAAACTATGATGTTGATGTGACCAGCTGAAAAGTCACATCCACCTCTGGACTCCACTCATTAAACTGTCTCCTCTGGGATTTATGACTTTTCCTTAATAAGCTTCAAAGTATTACCATTTTCTTTTTGTCAGGCTTCTTCCTCTCATCCCCTCTCCCTCTGGCTTATGTTAAAGAAAATATTACTACACAATAAATAAAGAGCATATATTTGGCTAAAAGCAAGCATTATGGCAAGGTATTAAACCTCTCATCATTATAATTAAGTGTCAAAAAAGGAAAGGTAAAAATGCATTTTTTGAGGTGCATAGGCTGTTTTAGTTAATTTTTTCTTTTTCTGACAGAAGCTGTAGGAGCAAATCTGTGATTCTGCCACAAGCCTGAAGCAGCTGGGGACAGGGCTACTGCAAGCAGGGACAGCACAGGGCTGCCTGGGGCAGCAGAGTACTGGGGCTGACTGCCACAGGGCCTGTTTGGTCAGCACAAAAACTCAGGGTACTTCTGGAGCTGCTGCTGGTGCAGAAAGGGCCAGGCTCCATGACACCTGCTGTGGGCCCTGGTAAATGAGGACAGGGTCTCAGCACATCTGGCTCCCATTCTCCTGTTTCTTCCTCCCATTCTTCTGAACTGACACCTGCCTCCTCTCTTAGAGCAGCAATGGTAACTTTGCCTGTACAGCTCAGTTAATTTGTTCAATAAGGCAAGATGGGGTTACTGCTGAAAAAATACCAGATAAGATTTTTTAAAAACTTCACTTATTTAAAAGTATTTAAGTGTTTCCTCCTAGAACTCTGAGTTCTAGGAACAAACTAGGAATGACTGAGGATTTGCCACTCATCAGTTATGTGGTCATATCAACCTCAAGCCACCCCATACAATCACACATGCTCTTCAATTTGCTCTCTAACACACTTGTGCAAAAAGTTGTGACAAATGCACAGACAAGCGATGTCAAAAATAGTAAACATATAACCTTTTTATAAGTATATCAACAAAACCAGTGAGACAGTATTTCATATTTTCTGGTCAAGTTTGCTCTTGGGATAAATATTAAAAGATGGATAACCCCAGTAGCTTGTAATCTGACTTTCGTGGTAGTAAGAAGACACCAGTTGCTCTCCTTTCCCCTTGGGGAGGGAACTCACTATTCCCATGAAACCAGGCTGAACCTCAAAGACTCAGCAGGCCAGCAGTCTGCCTGGAAGCATTCATGCAGGAGGCAAAGGCAGATGACCATGCATGGCATCCAGAAGAGACCCAGGGCAGAAAGAAAGGATAGGACAGTGAAGATGTAGCCTGGGCAAAGAACACAGAGGGTCCCAAAGCTGATGACAGTGAGCACAGCTCTGGCTGTGTGGCGTAGAATGCTTTGCTAATCACTCTCTGCATAGCCTAGCTTTTCCCAGCACAAATCGGTTCTCATTATATTACATTAAATTCACATCATACCATATACAGTTGTGCTGAAAGGCTTCCTGGAACTCAAGCTGCAGAGGAGGGCTGCAGCCCTGTGTTTCTTGTCTCGTATTGAAGAGGTCCACAGCCAGATGATTGGTTACATCTTCCTATCACAATTCCTCACTCCTTCCAAGAGTTTATCTGCTCATTGGCAATGCCCTCCTCCAAGGAGAGATGGCTCTGCCCTTGATTCAGCTGGAAATGTAAGAATGAACCTTGCTGACTGAATATTTCTGTCTGGAAGATGCTTAATATGCTTGGCACACTGCTAGGAGTATTCCATTAGCAATAACAGTAGTACTGTCTTCCTACTAAAGATCTTTGCAAATACAGGAGAGCAAGGACTAAACCACTACAGCAGTACTTTCACCTGGGCCAGTTACAGAAAAATCTCTTTTGCTACTGCCACCAGTTCTAACTGTGAAAAGAAAGGGTCTGTTTGCATTTGTAGTGAAGAGGTAATGTTGATGTGTTCCTAATTTTTATATAACTTTTACATAATACCACAGATACCCTTAAGATTATCAGAAATACAGATGAACAGCAAGAAATAAGAATGTGCCATGGTGTTCCTGCAGCTCCTAATTAAGTATTTAGAGTATATTGGGCACAGACACACACAGATTATTTGGGCCTTGGGCTCTGCCTCACCTCTGTCATTTGAGGATGAGACTTCGACCATTTCCCTCTTCCCCTTTCACCTGTCATTCCATGACCTTTGGCATCATTATCACTTAACTACTTTATATCACAAATACCTAACTAACTGCCTTATGAGGAAATAGACTCTTAATGCACCCACGTGACTCATTAGAAACTGTATGACAAGAGGATAAAGTAGAAAATTTCAGCAAGTCAGAGAGTTCAACCTCCTTCTCCTAAGTTCCAGAGTTTCTGTAAGTCACTAGACTTTAGCAGAGGAAGCCTGTACTCTTCTAACAAGCTTGTCAACACACTTACTTAAAATCCCCAGGATAAAAGCACATGCAGAAATTGGACCCTTTACACTAGATCAGAAATCAGGGGAAAAAAACAATTAATAACTCTTTAAATCTCCAATGTTAATTGTTCTTTATAGCCTCTCTTTATTGTCAAGAGCTCTGGATTGCATATCCAGGTTTACTGCAGTCAGTTCTGGAAAAAATGCAGGAGCAATCTGACTGCACCCAGGAATTTTGCAAGAAATCCCAGAACAGCTTACAGAAAGGACAGAGAAGAGATAAACTGCACATTTGTAGCCTGGCTCAAACTTTCCTAAAGAGCTAATGTGTGAGAGAGATCAGAAATTTAAACTACCCTGTTCGGCTGGTTCCTAATTTTCCCCACAATATCCCTAATCAAAGGAAGTCACGAAGGAACAAAGGCCCACATAAAACTGTATCTGGAATGGCAGAACAAAAATGAAAAGCATGCTCTCCAGAGAATCCAGATAAAGATACCTGTGCAATTATTGTGAAATATTAATATATAAAGCTCAGAAAGGGTTTTTCTGCTGTTATTTGAGACAATAGAGATTTAGTAAATAAAGGGGTTCCATCAAAAGGTGAATGAGTAAGACCACTGTCAAAGAAAAACCTACCAAACCTTCACTTGCTTTGTGATGTCCTCCTGTCTTTATAAAGCTGTGAGGCAGTGCTGAGCTCAGCATAGTGCCTGGGCTTTACTTCGTTTTACACTAGAGCCTGGAGAAAGTGTCCAATCAAAGGTGCTACTGCAAGCTTGGTGGTCTCCCAAACTACTTCTCTTGCCACCAAGAGAAAAGATGGAGAGAAAGAATCAATCTAAGGGGCTGGAATGAAAGAAGTAAGGGAAGTCAAAACTAGGTCTGGAGGTCAGGGAAGTCCAGAAGGAGATGCAAGGATTTATCCCAATGCTGGAAAAAAATCTTGTGGACATGAATATATATTATTCATCCTTGGGATGAAAGTAATGCTGTAATAATTCTCCAATGAAAGAAAGTGATCTCAGCATCAAAAGAGTTTTCTAATTGAAGCTTGGATTAAGACAAGACAAAAAGGACAGGCTTGTTGTTAGCTTGTCTTCAGGAAGAGATTGAAAAGGTGACTAAAGATTTTTGTAAGGGCTATTCCTGTTCAAAGAATGAAAGACGCTTGAAGTAATTTGCTAAATATAAGTACAGAAGACTTATAGGTCAAGAGGGTACTTTTTGTCTATGTCTGCATCTGAAACTAGATGACCTCTCTGGCTGAACTTCTGCTTCTCATTTCCAAGGACAGGATTATACCCCTCATCTCTTGAAGCTGTACAAAAGGGGACCATTTTTCAGTGTAGTGAGCTGTATTCCACCCTCAGAGCTATTGAGCTTGCAATCAATTTAAATCAAATGTGAAAATTGATAGAGACCAGCTGTGATTTTCATGAAGTTAATCTCCTTTCTAACAAGGATACTTAATAATTCTCAAAATAGCCCTTGAATCCCTTTACTTCTCTCCCTTCAGACATCAGGCAGGACTTCTCTCTGAGCCTCCTAGATGAATTTTGGAGGCATATCCTCTGTTATTAGCAGATACATGTCACCAGGTTAATGGGGTGGTAGGGAGCAGAGAGAACAAACTAACAGAGACCTGAGTGCTAGGGACTAGTCCCAGAGGGAGCTGTGGAAATCTACACCAAAAAAAATCACATCAAAGAAGCAAAAGCTAATGTTTACCTCCCCCTCAGTGTAATGCTCTCAGCTGCAGAGAAACAAAGCAGAAGAGGAATCAGGAATAAAATCCAGTCATGGTTTCAATTGGTTTCACCTGCTCTTGAGTGCACAGGTTGATACACCTGTGAGATGCTGCTGCATCGCCTCAGAGGGACAAGCATTGCTGGCAGAAGTTTTGTGCCAGCTAAGTAGATAAGTGAAGCTATAATGGACTATAGGCTTTTTCTTCAGGAATTCCATTTTATGGAAGATTACAAATTGCATTTATTGATCACTTTTATTGAGTGAGGAAGAACTCTGAAAAACAGCAATTCCTTTTATATCTTAGACTTGCCAGACAGAGAGAGTTAAGGCTTATGATTTCTAAGAGCTGGTCCCAGTAAGATGGCCCAGCACTTCATCATGCCATGGAGACCTGCAGTGTGACAGTGTGCTGAGAATACTGGGGAGGAGTACATCCAGGGCAAATAGCAGTTGTGCATTCAGTGCAGGATTCAGCTTGTGGGCAGGGTGCCAGGTGCAGAGATCCATATGGAATGAGGACAGTAAGGATTAGCCTGTTGGTTTATTTGATCCATGGCTGTATGAGAAGGTAAGTCCAATTCTAGGGACAGAGTGAATGCAGCATGGCTGCATGATGCTCAGTGCTGAAATGGTACATACTTATTCTGCTGTGTCAAATGCTTTTTAAAGAAGTGAAGGGACACTCTGTTCTGGCAGATTGTATATCATGCACAGTCTGTCTGCTCTTCCACTGACTTCATGATGAGTCAAGTGTGGTCTGTCCTTCCACAGCTGGTGTAGGTCCTCGATATGAATTTAATGGTTCCTAACAGCGCCAAATCCTGCGAGCTTTGGCTGAAAAGATGATTAAAATGTGATTGTGTGCTTGCATCTGATTCAGATGAGGTCTGTTCTGCCATGACCCAGTAGTGCAGGACACATATCAATGGTTGCAGTGTCAGTGTTCATGTTCATCCCTTGCCTGTGCAGAATATGGTGTGGGTTCCTCAGACAAAACAGTTTGTGATCCTGCAGCTGGAGGTCATATCGCAGTGTCTTACCACCAGCAGGGCACAAAGGTTTCATAGCCAGTTTTAATCCTGGCATTTCCTATCCATGAATGAATGATTTTATCCCC